CAGCGCCCCAACCCCCTGATTGGCCCTGCTCTGTGCGTGACAGGGGGTGGTGCCGCAACCTCCCCATCAACCCTGCCTTGAGTGTGACAGGGGGCGGTGCCCCAACCCCCCAATCAGCCCCTACCCGGAGCGTGACTGAGGGTGGCATTGCAACCTCCCAATCCGCCCTGCTCTGTGCATGACAGGGTGTGGCGCCCCAACTCCCCAATCGGCCCTGCTCTGAGCCCGACCAGGGGCTGCACCTATGGATTGGCCCTCCCTCTGCCACCCGGGAGCAGGCCTAAGCCAGCAGGGCGTTATCTCCGGAGGGGTCCCAGACTGTGAGAGGGCACAGGCCGGGCTGAGGGACCCCACCCCCCCCCGAGTGCACAAATTTTTGTGCACCGGTCCTCTAGTGTACTTTATAATGAACGATAGGATTGTTGTTGCCCCTTTCAGTCTTAAGAGATAAAGAATTCAATAGTTCCAGTTTAAGTTCTGGAAGAGTAAGTTCTCACACAATGTCGTTACCAAACCACATAGTGTGATGGCCAGCTTTGCTAGGGCCCTCAAGTTGTTAAAAATCTCTTAAGACAAAAAAGCATATCTGTGAAGTAATAATTATAATAAGGCAACCATCACTGACCTGTTTCTATATGGTGACAAAAAAACAAGAGAAAGAAAAATCTTTGGTCTAAGATAAAAACAATACCCTGGAACCCAATCTTGCTGGGTTGGGTCGGTGTTAAGGCATTGATAAATAAAGAGAAGAAAATAGTATTCACTTATTATTCACTTCATTTTTTTTCACAAATATGATCTCTTCTGACTTTTCTGTCTTTTCCCCCACAACTTGCATGAACACACACACACTCCTGTCTTCTCTTTTACCTTTAAATTCTGTCACACTATTATGCTTTGGGGACCTCATCACATTTTCTTGAGACCCCAAGTTCCTCCATTAACATTTCTGAAAGATTAGCAGTCATTAAGAACCAAATGGAAATTATATAAGATTTTTAAATCTTCTAAAATGTTTGGCTACCTGAAAAAATAACTGTGAAACTTAATAATAGGTTAGAATTTAATTCCATTATCATCAAATATGTCATACTCCATATATAAAGATTCCTAAAACAGTCTATTAAACTTATAACACACTAGTTTTGTTTTCAAATATCTTTAGAGTAAAAGAGCCAAAGTTTTATAAAAATCTTAAAGTTTAAATGATTTTATATAACTCTTATATTTTTGTTGATTTTATAATTACAAGAGTCATTTACAGTTATTCTAAAAGTAAACACTACATAATTTAGAGTTTAAGCAAAAGTAAGTTTCCAATAACCCCACTGAGATAACCAGCAATAACTCATTTCTACTTTTCCAAGTCTTCTACATATACATAGTTTCTTGCATGCTCTCTGTCTCTGTCTTCTTTTCTTTTCTTTTTTAAAGTATATTTGTATTGATTTCAGAGAGGAAGGAAGAGGGAGAGAGAGAAACATCAATGATGAGAGAGAATCATTGATCGGCTGCCTCCTACATGCCCCCCTACTGGGGATCAAGCCCACAGCCCGGGCATGTGCCCTTGACCGGAATTGAACATGGGACCCTTTAGTCCACAGGCAGATGCTCTATCCACTAAGCCAAACCAGCTAGGGCTCTGTCTTTCTTTTTCTTCCCCTCTTTGAAATACATCTTGGTGTCTCTTTATAATAGTATCTAAATTCTTTCATTTACATAGATAAGAAACTAGCTTAAGAGGTGAGCTATCGCAAGATACCCAATAAGCAGCAAACTACAAAGATATTTAGTGGTCATCTTTGCCAGTGTGGACAGGCTGTTTCCAACTCTGTTATCTATATAAAATTTTTGGAAAATATATTTAAAGGAAGTAAGGGTAGTAATCCAAATTTTAAATAAAATACCACAAAATCAAACTAAGATAATGGAGGTTTTAGTACCGGAGCAGTTCCCATATTTTTTAAATGACAGTGTTTAAAGCATTGGAGACTGATCTAGCTTCCCTGGGCTGCTGTCCTTGGCAAGTGGGTGTCCCTTAGCATTCCTCAAGTCAGCAGGCCCTTGAAATGAAGCACAATAACAAGGTTTTAATGAGTGATATAACCCTTCCCCATTCAAAAGGTAAAAGACATCTGCTTAAAAAAGCAAATAAACCACAGGAATGGGTTCAGCAACAGGCCTGGAGGATTTCAGAGATACACCCCTTGCTGATCAAAATAAAAATCACAACAGAACAATTGTTTCAACTTTACACTATGTGTTCTGAACTGTTCTACAGTCTCCAGATTAACTGGCGTGGAATCCCACCAAGCTCATGAAGAGAGAAACTCGGGACTCCGGCAACACGGTTAGTGCTTGCTGTCCTCCCAAACTAGAGGGCTCTCCCAGCAAGGACAAGGAGAGCTTGGCAGAACCACACACTCCTGGGCTTCCTTTACTGGTAGTATTTCTCGGACTTATTTTTAAATTTTAAACTGCATTTAAAAAATCAGACTCCAAGGATCTTTTCCTATTTGCTTTTGTTGTTGTTGTTGTTTTACTGAAAAATTGGTCTTTACTTATTCTCTTTATGGTATCACCCCTGCCCAGTTACATTTTATAGCTACCATCTTCCCCTGGAATCTGTGACCACTCACTTGGGTTATTAGATTACTCTGATTAGATTGTCAAACTAATCATGTGAACACTCAGGCATTTTAAGTTATGTTCCAAGGAGGTGGAAAGACAAAATTCTTTCTTTTCTGGCACAGGCTTCTTCCACCCACTGAATCCCCCTAAATCTCTTGGGCTTGCCAAGGTCCTGACCTTCCAGTCTCCACAACAGAGGGTGATGTTTGGCGGGAGAAAGACCCAGCAGATTAAGGCCTCTGTTCAACAAATATTTGCTCACCCACTCCAACCAGAGTGAAACAGTTTGCAACATGCTGCCTGCCGAGAGTAACATTTAGGGACCTAGGGGAAGCTTGTTCAGTGATGACTAAGAATTAGATACCTCATATCAAGGTAAATAGAAAGTCCAAATGCATTGTACATCATGGAAAACTAAATGAATTTACTGAACTCCCAATTTCACATGAAAACCAGCACAAGTCCCATGAAATAGAATCTGAGTGTGATTTGCCAAACAAACAAAAAAACCAAAAACAAGTTTACTCACACCCTAGCCAGTTTTGCTCAGTGGTTAGAACATGGGCCCTCAGGGTTCAATTACAGTCAAGGGCACATACCTCAGTTGCAGGCTGGATCCCCCGCCAGGATTGTGGCCAGTGGGGGAGGCAATCAATCAATGTGTCTCTCTCGCATCCTCACATCCATGTTTCTCTTTCTCTCCCCCTCCCTTTCCACTCTCTCTAAAAATCAATGAAGAAAAATATACTTGGATGAGGATTAACAAAACAAACAAATAAAAACCTTTACTCAACCTTGTGTTGTTGGGTGTTCTTAATCTAGTCTCTTAAATTCAAAAACTCTCTGGCATAAGGCATTATTGTTTTATTTGCACAGCCTGTGACCATTGAGTTTAGAAGTTTAGACTATTGAGTCTGCCCTTTCTGTCAAGAAAATTTCTGGCTGTCTTTTCCCATTTCCCACTCCCTTTCCCTATCAAGAATCATCTTCGAACCCTCACCCCTAACCCTTGGGATATCTGCAAATCTGAAAAGACAAAAAGAAAAAGGAAAACATGAAGCTGCAGGGGAAATGTCCGAATTATGTGGTCCACACTCCTTCATCTTCCTCTCCAAGACCAGAGGAAGGAAATGCGGGCCTGGGGGTGAAGGGGAGGGGATGCAGGGGGTGGGAGCGTGGGTGGCTGGGGGTGTGTGTGTGTGTGTGTGTGTGTGTGTGTGTGTGTGGTGGGGAAGGGGGGAGGCGATCTGTCTCAGCTAATTCCCCAAAGTCCTCTGCTCCTGGAGAGGTTGGATGAACAAGACCAGGGCATGTGCAGGTTGCCCTAGCATAAAGTTCCCGTTTTTATTTATTTATTTTTTTCAGTAGTAAAATCAGCTTCTTTTCCAAACCCCCAGAAGAATCCGAGGCGCCCAGCTGCTATTGCCAGTGACAAGGAGCAGGAGCGGCGCTTTCAGCTGCACGTGCCCAGCCTCACTACAGTCCAGTCGCCTAGGGAAACCCTGGCATTCCGGGGTGACTTGACAGCGATCTGGGGTGGGGAGCTGACGGTGCGGGGGAGACCCGTGCACGGCGAGCGCGGCGGCCCGGGAGGGCGGGCGGCTCCAGATCCCACAGCCCAGCGGATGGCGAGATTTACAGCACTCTCAGGCGGAGCTCTCGCCTTTCTCCCCTCTCCCTCTTCTCCCCTCTCCCCCACCCCTTTTTTTCTTTTCTTTTTCGCTTGACTACCCACGGCTGGGGCCGGGCCACCCGGGCACTTGCTGGGAGCAGCGGCGATTAGTGCCCTAATCCCTAGTCCTGATCCGAGGGGCGGGGGTCCCCAGGCCGGGCGGGGACCCGAGCAGGGAGTGGGGGACGCGGAGGCCAGCTCCCAACGTCCCGCGGGCAGGTCCGCCACAGCGGGTATCGTGGGAACCCGGGACCTCGGGACTCTGAGCAGCGGCTGTCAGTTCCCGGGTGGAGACTCCGCCAAACCGTGGCGCGCGGGAGAGGAAGGGGTGGGGTGGCTGGACTAGGGCTGTCGCGAGGACGCCGCCGAGAGTGGAACAGCGACCCCCGCCCTCCCGGGCCCTCCCAGCGCCCAGGGGCGATGCGAACCCCCTAACGCCAGGCGCGGCCTTCGGTGATGCCGGGGAGCCCCGTGCCCCGCGCCGGAGCTGGGCACCTGAGGGGCCGGGACCAGCCCTCCTGGCGAAGCGGAGGGATGCGGATGTCCCCCAAGGCTGAGAGCGGTTCAGACCGGAGCAACGTCCGGCTGGAGAAGTTGGGGGACGAGCGCTGGACGCTGGGGGCGAGGCCCGGAAAGCGCCGTGGGAAGGGGCCAAAGGCACGGTGGGAGTCAGGAATGAGGAGTCGCCTGGACTTACCGAGTGTCTCCCTCATGCTGCCCCGCGCCGTCGCCGCTCCCGCTGGCTGGCGGAACCGCGCGACCAGCCGCCTGCCGCCTCCGCGGCCCAGCACTCCCGGAGCCGCCGCCCGCCCCGCCCACCGGCCGCCCCGCCCACCGGCCGCCCCGCCCACCGGCCGCCCCGCCCACCGGCCGCCCCGCCCCGCCCGGCTGGTCACCTCCAGGCTCTGGCTCTTTGGGTGGGAGGGCTGCACCCAGACACAGAACCCAGCATGGGCCTCTGTCCTGCCTGGGTGGGTCGTGCTGAAGGCACAGGTGGGCTGGCCACCCTTTCCTGTCTTTTCCTGACACTTGGGTTTAGGCTTCTTCAACCCTGTAAGAATGTATACATGCACACACAGTTATACACAAAACACAAACATTCTCATGTACAGTCACACACAAATGCACACACTCATATACAGTCACACACAAACTCACACATACACAAAGACATGAAGTAGACACACGAACACCTCTGTATACAGCACACACAGAAACATGAAGCATGAAGAGCAAAAACAGTGATGGTGACAATAGCTTAGTGCTTGTGGTTTCCTTCTTAAAAAAAAAAAAAGGAAAATCTTAGCTGAAGGCTGGAAGAGACCTTAGAGGTCAGCTGTGACAGATGAGGAAACTGAAGCCAGGAGTAGGATTTACCTAAAGCCAAGAGTAGGAGGTCAGTGAGGCACTCTGACCAGAATGAGCATTTACAGTCTCCCAACCACTCCAAGTTTCTCCTGCAGCAAAAATTAGACTGGTGCCAGGTCTGTTAAGAGGCAAAAGTCCTTGCACTTTGGAGAGCAGAAAAAAAGACATAATATGTACAACTTTGCTGACAAGTTGGGGGTAAGGACAGGATGTTGGCTAAGTCAAGTCCATGGAGGCAAAAATGGATAGCAAAGCAGACTGGAGTCCCTACAGAGCAAACTTTTAGAAAAACATTTAACCACACCATGGATTTAGGGCTGTGCTTGCTGCCATAATACCAATAAAGCAATAATACCTAAAGTTGTTTTCACTGTCACCTTTGTCTTAACCCCTCATATGTGTTATTTTCTTTTAATCTTCACACATTTCTCTGTGGTGGGTGGAAACTGGGACTCAGGGAAGCACATAATTACCATGTTGCAGAATCTGGCCCAAGACCCTTGTTCTGAACCCTAACTATGAAGAGTGTACAGTCTAAGAGGGCAAACAAACCAAACACACTAGAGCTGGGGAGGAAAAAAGTATAATCAGGTGCCATGCTGCGAATTAGCTATAGTGTGTCTGAGGAGCCCAGGCGGGAAGACGGCAGTGGACGGCATGCGCCCAATTTGAGGGCTTCTTCCAGACGTGTTGCTTTACTTGTGGTGGCCTCGGATTCCTATGGAATAAAATGGGGATAATGATGATGCTAACTTCCTAGGAAAGCCATGAGAATTAAATGAAATAATGTCAAGCCCTCAGCACAGTATGGCAATTGTAGGAATGAAGGAAATGTTAGCTGCTGCCACTAATACTTGTACTAATAGTGCCCTGTCGGCTGGAGCCACCAGGGAAGGCTTGATGGGAAGCACCTTAAAGGGTTGTGGTTAGGCAGAGACAAAGGGTATCATCTCCAGGCTGGAGGATTACAATGAGGAGAAAAAAAAGGTGTGTGGGGGGGAGGATTCTACAGCTTTTCCAGGAAATCGCAGTTATTAACAATGGTGACATTACTTCTTTTCATAAAACATCTTTTGGGGATAAATTGTTTCAATGTCATACAATTCCCGTTTGTCCTCGATGAAATAGCATTTTGTGGAGCACCTATATGTTCCCAGCACAATGCAGACACATATGGAGCCAAATGTTTCCGCAAGATCGTTAATCAGCCAGCAAATTGTGATTAGGATGCGTGTTTTCCCCATAGAACAATGTTATATTGTTGGCTTTCTGGGTCACCTCACAGAAGTTTTATAATGTAACTGAAATACTATATAGTTGCAGTAGAAAACAACATTGAAGCAATGCTAGGAACAAGTGAAAGCACCCCAAAATAAAGCTTAAGAAGAAACTGTGTTTTAGTAGAATGGCTGGTAAGGAAGGTTAGGAGATTGAAATACCAGATTCTGAAAAAGACAACTTCACAATTTTAAAGATTTATGTGGTTTCCTGACACTGGCTCTTTATCATGAAGCCCTCATTTCAAAATGTTTAGTTTCTTTCTTCAGTTCTGATATATCACTAGCCCTGCTCTAAGGCTCTCCAGCCACGATGAAGGCCATTTCAAGCGAAGAGCAGAATGGGAAAAAATGAGGATAGAAGGAGGTGGTGGTGCTGGGCAACAAGTAGAAAGGTGGGAGATTTTCTGAAGATTTGGGAGTAGAATTATGAAGAGGAAGGGGGACAAGGTTGAAAAGATACATGAGTAAGAGTGGGTGACTGCATTATAATGGAAGAAGACAGAGGTGAAGGGGAGTGTGATGCTTCCCCAAAGGAAGATAAAAGTTGGTGAGGAAATCCATGGGGCCATTTCCCACACAAATCACTAGTACATAGACATGAGATGGTGGACATGAGACATGAGAAACCAGCCGTGTGTGTGTGTGTATGTGTGTGTGTGTGTGTGTGTGTGTAAAATCTTACGTCTTTTATATGTACACACATATACAAATATACATATGTATATTCTTATTATGTGCTGTTGTTGGTTTGTTAATCCTCACCTGAGGATATTTTTCCCATTGCTTTTTTTAGAGAGCGTGGATGAAAAGGAGAGAGGGGGAAAAAGAGGGAAAAAGAGAGAGAGAAAGAGAGAGAGAGAGAGAGAGAGAGAGAGAGAGAGAGAGAAAGGGAGAGAGAGAGAAACATCGATATAAAAGAGAAGCATCAATTGGTTGCCTCCTGAATGCACTCGGCTATAGTGGGGGATCGAACCTGCAACCCAGGTACTTGCCCTTGACCAGGAATTGAACCCTGTACCCTTTGTTGCAAGGGCCGACACTCCAACCACTGAGTCACACCGACCAGGGCTCTTATTATGTTTTCAGATAAAAGGACATTTCTTCCTAAGTCAGGTCTTGGTAACTGAGAAAGCACATGGATAAGTTTTATCTTGACCATTGGAAGATCACATTCCTTCTAATCACCACCCACTCCTGCTTCCATGCAACTGCAGGCCCTTTCTCCCACCTACTTGACTGTGGGAGATTTAAACACAGGAAAACATATTGACTGTCTATGTGGTTTAAAATAGAATACGATTTAAAACAACGTTTTGTGTGATGCTGCTAGAAATCCAGTGTTGCCTGGGAGCATGTGCTAGTATCCAGCCCAGCTGGGGAGCCTAAATGTTGCCGCCTTTCTCAGAGTCCTGGAGAAGGGATTTCACAGACTCAGGAAGGAACTTGGACTACTGAGTCATGGTGCAGATGTGCAATGACCAGAGAAAGAATGCTTAATGGCCTTCTTTTTAAAAAAAGACAAAACCCTTGTTTCTTTAACTTGCTGTCTTTTCAAAGACCTGAGAATGACCCTCCTTCCTGCTACAGGGCCCTTCCGTGAAGACCTACTAGGAGGTTTCCTTTAGCTGACTTGGATACTCTTTGATATTTTTCTTACTCTGAAAAACACCACCAGTTCTCATTTTTTTAAAAAAGATTAAAATTCTTGATAAAACCTTGAAGTCTCTCTGGTTGGCTTATTCTAGAAAGTCTAACGATAAGGATTATAGAAAAAACATAGAGAGTTTTATGTTAACAGTTGATAATAAAACTTGTTTTTAGATATGGACATGTTGTATATTAATTCAGAGGTGCTACTGCATAATTATTTTTAGCCATGAAATCTGTTTATCAAAGTGTGTCCCATGGACCACCTACTTCAGGGCTAACTCAGTGGCGGGGGGAGGGGGGGGGACGCAGGAGAGCCGTGTGGGGGCCCCTGGGACTCATCAACAATGAACACAAGCAGAATTTAATTTCTAATTCCTACAGCCTACAGTTGAGACCCTAAACTCTGGACTTGGAAGTACATGCCCAAATGAGAAGCAGGGATACAGCTCAAGAAATAGAAATATTATGTCAAGAGTCTAACAAAATGATTGGTATATAATAAACATTTAAAAAAAACAACAACAGTAGCCATGGACATCATTGTGTGATGATGAAGAGTAACATAGCAATGTCCCTCTGGAATAAGTTCATGAGGTGTTTCTTAACTGTTGCTTAGAAGATTTGACACTTCCCAAACAAAAAAACTTTAGACTCCTGGGGGTTAAGAAAAGAATAATAAAGATTTTTCAATCATATACTTTCACTCTAAGGAGAATGAATCTGTAAGTATTTGCTGTCTCTTCGTCAGCTTTTTCCTCCATAAGCTATACATTAATGGAAACCAGCCTCGCCTAAGCCCTATCTCAACTCATCCGAGGAAAGGGCTGCTGTTTACTTGTGGTTGACAGAACATTCCCAGTATCCCCCTGCTTGCAATCTACAATTCTTTGCCAAATTCATAAGGAAAACCCTGTTTTCCTGTCCTCCAGGGAATGACAGTGGCTGGCTGGAATCCGACTGGTACAAAGGTGATGCAAATGTGGCTTCCAGAAGTCAGTGGGATGGCCAGATCTGGCCACCCAGGGCTGCTGTCTGCCAGCCATCACACATCAGCTAATCAAGAACCAACCAGAATTAACTGGAGTATTTTCTTTAACCCTATGTGAGTTTTTATTTAAAAACTGGGAAATATGTGAATAGCCACAAAATAAAGTTAGTCACCAACATTAATTGAAGAAAAAAAAAAGCTTTCATTTTGGGAGAAAGGGCATATCAGTGTGTTATTACATCAGTGATAACAAAATACAGCAACACAAAAATGACACCAGTTTGGGAGGAAGAGGTGAAAATTACCTTTCATTTAACATTTCTTATATGTTGGATACTTGGGTAGGCCTTGACTCTTCCATGTTCTTCCATGTATTTATTGCCAGGGTTGCATGATTTTGAAGTTATGATTCTAGTTGCGCACTGAAGAGAATGTAAATCTGCCATATGAGAAATTCACTTTCCATATCTTTGCTTTTTTGCCTCCATATAAGTCCCACAGCATTTTGTTTAAGCTGCTAACA